ATTTGCTACAAAGAGGTTCGGAGAAATTATTGATTAATCAAACAATTCACGTACCGCTGAAGGTGGCATCAGCAGCCGAGTGAATCGAGCCTCGGTTCAAAAGCGCCATGACCCGAGCCATAAAGTCCTTGGGAAGAGCGGCGGAATGGGGCAGAATTTCTTCACGGATCATGCGCAAAAGCTGTCAATCAAATAGATTGTTATTAGTACCTAGGCCTCTGTAGAGTTTACTCGCTCTAATACCTGTTCTGTTTTGTTTTGTTCTCTCAAAATGTTGATGATAAAGGAACTTATGTTTCTTCAGTGGATGGAATAAGAACATTTGTAGAATTTTGTTTATATAATATTAAAGACTTGAAAAGAAATCTGGTTCAGACTTTTTCTAAGTCAGTTCCTGAATACGAGATTTCTACCAAAAAACGAGGATGGTTCAATCTGCACGTAAATCTTAACTATGGAGGCATGGTGACCTCCTGGTTACTGCGCCCGTCTTCGGATTGAGCGGTCCGCGTTCGAGTCCTGGACGGGAACATTGCGTTGTGTTCTTGGGCAAGACACTTAACTCTCACAATGGCTCTCTCCACCCAGGTGTGCATATGGGTAGCGGCGAATTTGATGCTGGGGGTAACCCCACGAAGGACTAGCACTTCATCCAGGGGGGAGTAGAAATACTCCTAGTCGCTTCATGCTACAGAGACCGGGATAAGCTCCGGCCTGATGGGCCACTTGACTCGTATGCAGACTTTACTTTTACTTAAACCTAAACCATTGTAGATGATATGTAGAAAGTCTTGTATCATTATATCGCTCTCTATCTGTTACCTTGATGTCCAGTTCCTCATCCGCTTGATGCTGTTCAAGGGACTGATTCTCTGGGGGACTCCTGTAAAATAAAACAAGTGTCTCAGGGGGGAGGGGAAGGTCACATTGAACACTCATTGTTCAAGAACTTATAGTTTACATTATTATAACACGGCGTCTAAATACCATGTTTAACCTGGAACTGGCTTCGTTTAGGTTTATAGCAAGGATCCTGATTAAAGACCGGCAAAGAATACGCAAAAGGTAACACGTTTTGGCTTCGACTTCTGACTGGTGGTAAAGATACTTAAGATTTAACTTGAAGAGATTTATTTAAACAATAGACCACAAGTTTTTATGGTTTATAGGCTGATAAACCACGCGGGATGTTGGAAGAACACGGGAAGAATTCGTAAATCACGAGCCGCAGGCGAGTGGTTTACGAATTCTTCGAGTGTTCTTCCAACATCTCAAGTGGTTTATCATACCTCTAAACCATAAAAACTTGTGGTCTATTGCTTTTATATAATAATTCAGAAGACACGCGAAATTTCTATGAGTTTACTGGCACAATAAACCATAGCTGATTGACCAATCAGAGCGCGCGCATTCATTTAATTACTATATGAGAATTCATAAAGTAAAAGAACTTACATATCTGAGAAGAGGAAGTCCTCCAACGCCGAAGCCAACTCATACCACATTGACCTAAAAGAATCTATAGATACAAAGTGAAACGCAACAGTAAATAAATTATCATATAGAGAGGAAGCCACATCAGCCTTGGTTTTCACGCGGGTCGTCAATCCTGGTTGAATTGGAATTTGGAGTGTTGGTTTTTGATGGAGGGAGGAAAAACTGAAGAACACGGAGAAAAACCCTCGGGGCAAGGCGAGAACCAACAAGAAACTCAACCCACATATGACACCGGGTCGGAATCGAACCCAAGCCACACTGGTGGGAAGCGAGCACTCTCACCACTGTGCTATCCCTGCTCCGCAAACAGTGATTAGAAGATGTACCCAGATAATTTTAAATGCTAGCAAAAAGCATGAGATACTTTAACCTAACTGCACACATTGCATGTTATGTAATTTTGTACCTGAGCGTGCGAGAGCCACGTTAAGTCCTTTGCGAACAACAGTCATTAACGAATCCACCGCGAGCTTCCATGTGGACTGGGACGAGCAACTGTACTTGAGACGAAGAGGATTGCGGAGGGACTGGAAACAAGAATAACGTTCTGTTAGTAGTTATGTAAAATCAGAGCAGAGGCGATATCATCTGTGATCAGCACATAATTTCTCCTTACAATTTCAATACATTGTCAAGCATACTGGTGATGAGAATAAAGAAAACCATCAACTAGAAGGGAGGAGACGATTTCTTTTAAGAATAGTTATGAGAATTTGGTAGAATATCAAGACACCAACCTAACTTATCATTTCCTTTATTCTCCCAACCTATCTACCTAACCTTAAACAACGTATTGATATGAAATTTTAAGGAGAGAAAAGGATTTGATCACATATTATACCTTGATGATCTTCTCCAATACTTTCTCCTCCATCACAGCAGGCAGAGAGAAACACTCACTATACAACACTACAGCCATCTCAAGACATTTCTCCGAGAAAGGCGTGAGCGACAGAATAATCCATTCTTTCTTTTTACGTCTGGCAGTGCCATCTNTATATAATAATTCAGAAGACACGCGAAATTTCTATGAGTTTACTGGCACAATAAACCATAGCTGACTGACTGACCAATCTGAGCGCGCGCATTCATTTAATTGTTATATAAAGAGTTATAACAGGAAAGTCAGCTATAATAAAAGAAAATGTCGGAAACGTGATACATGTGCAGCATTTAATAATTAGAAAACATGTACCGTGTTTCTATCGAGTTATAGAAACACGAGTGAAAGTTTGGGAGAACGAGAAATGCTGTGGGAACACGAGCCGCAGGCGAGTGTTTCCACAGCTTATTCGAGTTCTACCAAACTTTCAATCGTGTTTCTATAACTCGGTAGAAACACGGAGAACGTGTTTTCTATTTCTTTTAGAAAACACTGCGACAAAAAAAAGGAAAACAACTTGTTCACTTTGATCAAAATGTAAATTTTCTTTGCACGCGCCATCATTACGTCAACAGCTCGTGCTAGTTCTGTGTTTTCATCGAGTAATAGAAACACGATTTTTAACCAATCAGCGCGCGTATTTTCTTACGACTGTTTTCTAAAATAATATATCTGATCATCGTAAAAATCAATAATTAATCAGTTGATTACTCACTGATCGCTCGCTGATGTCACTGATTGTTAAG